CCCACAGGGCTCAAAGGCTCAGCCTCCACCGCCCTGGTGCCAAACACCACAGGACACCAAAGGAGGCCCTACCGTACATTGGACTTGGCTCTGACCAGTTGAGGAATGGACCCAGGACCTATGGGATACTGGCAAGTCCATGCTCAATCTGAGTAAGTGGTTTTAATGTTATGACAGATTGCTGCACATCACAAGTGGAAGATTTCTGCTAACAAATAATTGTCAATAAAAGTACAGTGCTGTACTACTGCGATATGTTCCAAACCAAGGGTATAACATGAGGTATGCTATAGAGGAAGAGGACCAGCCCACCACTCATCAACTCAACTGAGGCATGTAACAACACAATAAGTGTGCTGCTTTAAAGGAAGAGCATGACACTTGTGATATGGCATGTCCATTATTGGTACATTATGATTTCTTCAAATGCTACTCAGGGTTCTGTAGCGTGCTTTTGTACAAACCTGTCCTATGAATTATGTTCACATGACACTATGTTCCATTACATTTTGTGGCAGTGTTAAATGCTAAAGAAGGAAGCATAGTGATATTCATATCAAGCAGTGACAAGTAAAGAAACATACCCTGCATGAATATACACAGCTTTTAATTTCATAGTTTGTTGTATCTTAGGATTTCACGCAAAGCACTAAGTGCTAATGTAGTGAGAAAAATAAGGACGAAGTTTTCACAGCAGCATGATATGCACCGGGCACATCAGTTATTACAGGCAGTGGGCAACAACCCAAGTTATCACATAGGCTGGACCTATTTTATTACAGTTTACGCTGACCATGATCATTCCTTGACCTTAACCAAGTGAATATTATTGCAGTTATAATGACAAAGGTCCCCTGGCCTTAATGAAGCAGTAGCAGTAGCAGTTTTAACCCCAACCATGATGTTCCCCTTACCCTAAATGAGTTGTGTTTGTTGTCTCCAACTTATACAAGTGATTTATTGTTCCCGCAGAAATTTGTGATACTGCTGTGCTGCCTTCTGAGACCAATGTCTAATTTGTGATTTCAGCTGTTAAATAAAATTGATTTGATTACCCTAGTCTGGCATTATATGTGCCCCAAATGCGTACTTTGCTTTTCAAATAAGTGGCATATGAACATAATTTGTAGGATGCACTGTGTCCACTGACTGTCTCTGGCATTGCTCTTATATTGTGTTCACATCGAACACAAGCAAATTGTACTCTTGCGAGTACAGCGGCTGGAGTGTTTTTTTTTTTTTTTTTTTTTTTTGAAGAATTTTGCACCTGGTAAATATTCTGCCTTAACAGCTGTGCTAATGGTTGTGCAAAGGCAGCTAACGGCTAATTTGGTTCCTGGTAAGGTGCAACCAATAGCTAAGTCACATGAACACTGTAAACATGGAGGCTCTGTGCTTTGAATCAACATGAACCAAGATGACAACATTCTCTATCATTTTTCGTACTGTCTATGGCAGAGCATTACTGCTTCACTCCTTCCCTGTTTACTGTCTAGAACAAAAGACTGACATGTATTACTCAGAGCATACTGCTAAGAAGCAACTCAACAACATATCTGACACAAGTCACAAAAACATATTTTCAGGGCACACAATATTCTCTGGCTTTGCTCACTAATCTCTGAGCCCTCTTGTTTTTGTTCTGTCTCTGTAAAGTACTAGCGTTAAGTGAGCTCTGGGTGGCAAATTTGTGAATACTAGCAAAGGAATAACCTTTCCTGCTTTCCCTATGTTTGGCTAATACTTGTTGCCTTTGTTGTTTGGATTGGTTAGGTTTAGGCAAAAAAACAAGTGGGATTGGTTAAGGTTAGGGTAAGGATGTCAGGGTAAGCCAATCAAAGGCACAGTAAGGCACAATGAGGCGGGCCATTCCTTCGCTATTTTAGGATTCACAAATTCCTCTCTGGGTGGCCACAAACAGCGACAATTAGTCTATCCTCCATTTCTAATTCTCATTAACATCTGGAGACTCTCTACTCAACACTGATAGATTTTCTCAACACAGTGTCACACACATTTACGGCACCTGCGCGCACACACACACACACACACACACACACACACACACACACACGAATAGCTTACATTTCACATTTGCATCAACTGGTCCAAATTTGCATCTATGCGTGTCTTTGCAATTGACTTTGTACAAAATTTCCCCATGTGAAATTTCATGTTCAGTGTGAACATTGTTTGACAAAAGAGCAAAGCCATAACTCAACATATTAACAGATATATTTCGAAACAACTCAGGTAGACATGTGGAGGACAGGTTTACCTCATTCCCATAGCAACTGTTTCTATTCAGGTCACCAAATTCCAGGAAAGAAAGTTATTGCAAGTTCTTAAGGCTATATAGGTATCTCCGATGAGATGTGCATTAATGAGCAGGATACTAGAAAACCAGCTGCTTCAGTGACTGACATTATAATAATGATTAAAGTATGAGCTGTTTTCATGATTCAGGAGTAAAAAATAAATCATTTTGGGTGAGTTAAACTAAAATTTACAAATACTGAACAAGTAAAAAAACAGTCTTAAAAAGTAGTATCATGGGATATTTCAAGAATAGAAATATTAAAACAGAGTTCACATTAATGATATTTATAATAGTCATTATTGTTATTACTGCTATTATCATCAATCTGTTGTAGCTATATAAAAATAATTTATCTGTTTCATCAGTGTAATAAAACCCCTACTGCTCTTTAACTGTCAAATCATAACAAATCAAAGTGTTTTGCATATCTAGCATTAGCATTTAAGGTAGTATGGCAAACCCCCTGTTTTTATAACATTCAAGGGTGGGGATCCATTTAATGCCTTGTTTACAAGAACAACTTACAGCAAATCTTTCATCAAATGTTTTCAGTGAGAGCTTTGGTTTGCTGAAACCACGTGAGAGCAGCACAGAACAGAAAGTCAACAGAAAAATCAAAATACAAGTGAAAACAATGTCAGCTTTTTTTTCCCCAGATGGAAAAAATCAGAAAGTTCTATCCTTACAGGTCCTACATCATCTAATGAGTACAAGCTAATAGTATCTATTGCAACTACAGAACATCTATCACTAGTTACTAGGAGAAAGAGTGAGAGGAGAGACAAAGGGAGTGACAGTTTTAAAGGTTAACAAATCTGTGTATAGACCACTACACTGGTATCAAAGACAGCACTCCTATATAAGGTCATTGGATTTTCTTTTGTATACATTATTGAAATACATTAATGATCAACTGAAGATTATTGTTGAGGATGACAAGGAATTAAGAGAAAACTCAATGGATATACAGTACATCATATTATTATTGTTATATAATCATTAACAGCCACAAAAAATATTGATACAAATCCTTCTTAGAAATGTAAATCATACAAGGGAACATATGTTTCTTTTTAATTAATGACATACACATTTCCTCTTTTCTTTTCTTTTTTTTTTTTGTGATTATTACTTGAGGTCCTCATTTTAGAAACAGTCCAGCATTCAGCTTCCCATGTTTTGTAAAAGTAATTTCTAAAATATCTGTTTTAGCACAGAAGGGAATAAAACAGCATACATTTAATAATTCATTAACCATTTCAAAACTTTAAAGAAAGACCGATTCTTTAGTTATAGCAAATTCCTATTTACATTAAATTATAGATAACATTCCTATTTTTCTTTACATTTTTATTTTCATAATGCTTGTATGAAAATTTGTGTATTCAGTAATGGTGGATCAACCAGTGGTATGCAGGCAACTGTCAACATTTAAAAACAGTAAATAAATGTTTCAAGTTAGGCTGACCAAAACTAAGTTATAAATAAAAGTCTTCTTCAATAAGAGTCCACTTCAGAGACTGACCAAATAATGTGCAAATTAATCTGCTCTCAGCCTTACCTCGGATAACAGTGCAACAACTTCACTTTGTCAGCCTGTCATATTTTTCAATTTTCATTCTCAAATAAGTTCTCTGGTCATCATTACAAAACACATAGGACTGAGGTAATAAGCAACACTCCTCTGCTGCACGTCTTCCTCCTTGTAAGAAACACAAGTTGCCAAAAATGAAACTTGCAATATTGCCTTTTGTTTGACACCAGACATGTAAAGACAATTACAGTATATCAAACATCTTTGTGAAATATGAGGACACAACTGATTCATCTAGTCTTCCCAAAACTATCAAGTGTGCTTTGGATTGATTTCTTTTTCGTGCTACAGAGCTCCAGAGTCGCAGTGATGCAGAAGAGACAAGCTTTTCAGCTGTGTGTCACAGAGTGCAGATCCACAGGTGTGTGTGACGTCTTTGTCTAATTGTGCACACTATAGCTCATCACATGGACAAAATATGCTGGTATCAAATTAGCCACAGTTGGAAAGCAAATAGCATGTACGGAGCGAACCAGCAGTGCATGATCTGTCATGGGGTTATCTTTTCCTCTGGCGTTGTGCAATAGATGGGACTCTGTTGAGACAGTTGATGTCCTCCCATCCAGCGTGTTGTGGCTTTGTCGCCCATTCAACCATCAAAAAAATATGTCTTTCCCTCTCTAAACCACTTTATGCCTGATATATGACTGGAACACAGTTACAGTTAAACAATTCAGTCTGACATAGAACTAAAAGGACAGCTTTTTCTATTTTTTTCCCCCCTCCAGACAATAAAACACTTATAAAACAGGACCGTGAAAATATTGTAGTCCTCTTATTGCCAAAAATAGTTAGTGACCACATTGCAAGAGCCAAAGCTACTAGGTGTTCTTGGTTTATATTGTATTGTTTTGATACGTGAACCAAAACTGTCTCCACTGAGCTATGTTGGTTCACTTCAGATGTCTTTATATGTGTCTGACAATCTTTCAATCACTCAAAGATAAAAATACAAATAACCACAGTGTCTCAGCAGACACACAAAAAGGTGAGTGACATGTACATTGCTTCTGTTACGTGCGGATCAAAAGAAACAAACGCACACATAAAATAATCCAAACTAAATGCTTAAAAATAATTTCTCATTACTGATTTTACGTCCAAGACAAAAAAAATATCACAATTTAAGAAAATAAATTGAAAAAAGAAAAAAAAAAGAAAAAGTAAAAAGAAAATAAAATCTAAACCAACAAATCTCTACACAAGGACACCAGTTACATTTAGAGGGATCTCCATAGCAGGTCAGGCTTTACACCACTCACGGACTGTCATCTTTTTTTCTGTGATGATTTTTGACTTTTGCTTTCAAACTGTTCTTCATCTGGTGCCTCCTCCGCTCTGGCTCACTGCGTGGATGCTGTAGTGGTTAGTGCTGGATGGCATCACCTGTACACAAAAGCAGTTTAGAAACTCAGTCCTGATTCCTACGGCCTTCTGAAATATTCCTTTGGCTGCACAAACACACAGAGCCAAAAGCCGGTAAGCATTAAGAGCACGTCTTTCCTTGACAGAACATTTACTGAGTGTCTTGACAATGTGTTATACTTCACACAGAACATCTCAAGATACGTTTAGGTTTCAGACAGCCACACTGATCTTACTTTAAGACCAGATAATGTCAGATTTTTATGTCCAGATTAAATATTCTACTAATCTCTATCATTGACTAAGTATAACACAGTGTGGATTCACCGTACAACTAGACCATGATTCTACCTTTACTGCTTTAATTATCTTTGCCCAGTTACAAACCAACATCATTATCACTTCAAACTTAAACTATCAATAAATTTGAAAAATATATTAAGCCATCTTATTTGATAGCAAAGTGGTCTTTGAAAGATACTAGTATTATTATATGAGTATTGTTATCTAATGTAACAACAAGACTATAATGGTGTGTTCAGACTGAATGTAAAGTCAATGGAAAGACCAACACATTCTCATCCCAAGTCGTCACATATCACCGCTTTGTCAGTGGACTTTCACGTCTACATATTACACGCTAGGTATCCTCCTGTGTCTGCTGTTGACATTCCAGGATGCCACCACCAACACCAGGATTTCAACAAAAGCACATGGTTAGGTTTAGAATAAAACAGCAGAGTTTGGCTCTATGTTCATATGGGAAGCGAAGAGGGAGTTTCTGAGTCAGAGTCTGAGGTTTGTTGGCCCCATCCATCCCCCCTCCTGTCTACCCATATGGACTTTCCAGCTCCTTCTATTACGTTGTTACCAGCAGCGTTTCTAACTGACACCGTCCAGCAGCTTATCATACCATTGTGACAGGTGCCGTACTGCCGACCACTGGCGCATCATACCACAAAATGTACCGTCCAGACGCATTACAAACTGATGCCGCCTGAAGTTGTATCATATCACCGCAAAGGGTGGCTATTGGTGTTGGTGTCTGATGCCAAAATCACTAACTAAGCGGCAGTATTTGACAATTTTAGAATGAGAATGGCCTGGAAAGACATAGGTGGACAAAAACAACTGCAAATTAGCTCTAAGATGAACTCTTTGTTTTAACTTGAGAAAAAAAGGTGCACTGTCAAAGCTGTATGACTCCATATCCAAGATTTTGAGACATCTTATTTTAGTTCAAAGACAGAGACAGACTGATTGAACCACCACAAGAAAAACATTTTTGTTATTTTATGATTTGTTCTAGTTTCCAAATTTGCCAAATATCATTGAATGCAAACATGTCTGATAATACAGCTGAATTGGATCATGTAAAATTTACTACCATTACATATTGAATATTTCCTCTAATCTTTCACAGAACCACAGATCATTTAAAGGGTGTGAAATCTGAAACAACTTTGAGACATTAAAGGTATACTTTGCAGATTTTTCCCTTGAAAACAATGTATAGACTCATACATCTTATTCTTGCTCTCAACCTGTCAAATACTGTCACTTGGTCAGTGGCCCTACATGTCAAAATATGACATGCCACATACCCCTCCTCTGTCCGTTTTGGACGCCCAGGGATGGCTTGTCAATTTAGCTTTTGCTATGCACTGTGTCTTTTCAAAATAAATAAACAATTGTTTATAGACAGTATGCTTGTTAAATACAAAATAAACTTAGCTTTAGATTTACTTCCTTGGGTTTAAGCAACAAAAGCATGCGGTTAGGTTTACAAAAAAAAACCAAACAAAAACATAAAGGTTTGGCCTAAAATATGGCTTAAACATGAGACATTAACAACAGGCTCCCAGGCTAACGTTCTGAGTTTGACCCATCCACCTTCCCTTCTGCCCACTGTATGGAGATTTTCTCGTGTCATACTATGATAGTTGCTGCCACCTGGTGCATCTCATACTGCCACTAAGGGTGCCAATGTGCGTTGGTGTCTGATGCAGAGGGCCACTAATCAAGCTTCGCTATTTGACATATTGGAAGTGATAGATAAGACTTCCAGCCACAACTCGAAGCAAGCACAAACCCCAACACCTCAGGTGTGTGCATGCAACCCAGTCTCACTCCGAAGTCATCGAAAACTGGTGCTTGGTCACTGACTTCTGGTGTCAGACACTGAAGAAAAAAGCAGTTCTTTCATATCAGCATGACACCTTGCTGATCACTGCTATTGTTTAATGGCACCTGGCAGCATCAGGGGGAGAAACAGACAACAATGAATGCAGAGGGAACAGATGTCCAAGTAGGGGGGGCAGGAGGGTTGGTGGCTGGGTTCAACCACCACCAACTTTCACGCAGGAGGCTGGTGTTCATCTCCTGCAAGATGCAAAGCCAAACCCTGTTCTTTTTTCCTAAACCTAACCGCATGCTTTCATCGCCTAGACCCAACCACATGCATGTGTTGGATAAATGTGACCACCTGAGTTTGTTATTGAAGGAAAAAAACATCAATTCGCAGTGTTGTCCTGACGTAGTGCATGTATTTTGAAAGAGACTGTATGCAAACTTTAAACTTCCTTTGAATACAGAAGTGTATTTTGAAAATAAATAGTACATGCAACAGGCTGAAGTTGACACTGCATCCCAGAACGTCAACAACCAATGCACCTGGGTACCTTGCAAGTCACACGTCGATGTGGGAAGTCCATGACCAAACGCCGATATGTGACGAGGTCGGAGTGAGAGAGAGTGTGTGTGTGTGTGTGTGTGTTGTGGGCCCTCTCACTCTCCCAGTTCCCTGATTGCTGCCCAGCTTTTTCACCTGCTTCACAGCTTGTACCTGCTATCCATCAACTCATCAGCTCTGCCGCATATCTGCCACTCATCTACTCATTGCCAGATTGTTGACTTCACTACCAGTGGAAGTTTCATGTCCTAGGTCACTTGAAGGGTCACTGCCTGCCTGCCTGCAGCTTAGGCACAGTCACATCCAACCATTTCCCATGCTCTGCCTAGTTTTATCAGACACCAGCTCCTCACTTCTTCTGCCTCCACCACCTCTGTTCTTCACCAAATCCTTCGTCATTCCCTGCAACTAGTCAATAACTCTGTTTTATTCATTTTACAGTGTCAGTCTGTGTCTGCATTTGGGTTCCTTCTGTTGACTGTTAACAGAGAGTGTTTCCAACTTTGTAGGTTTATGTTCAGCCCCTTCCTGTTTAAACATTCAATACCACTGTCCACAGAACCAAACCCAGTTTGGTATGGAAGAACCTGACCATCCTGAACTCTACCCCAAAGGTTAACTTGGAGTCAAGGATGAACTGATTAGAGTTTGGTGGTCAAAGGTCAAGGTCGCTGTGACCTTATATCCATCTCGTTCTTATGAATGCTATATCTAAAGAACAGCTAAAAGGAATTCTTCAAATTTAGCACAAATGTCGACTTGGACTCCATGATGAACTGATAAGAATTTGGTGGTCAAAGTTCAAGTCTATGTGACCTTGTCTGTCTAATTTTTGTGAATGTGATATCTCAAGAACACCATGAGGGAAATTCTTCAAATCTGGCACAAATGGTCACTTGGACTCAACAATGAACCGATTGGATTTCGGTAGTTAAAGGTCAAGGTTAGTGTGACCTTCCATCTATCTTATTCTCGTGAACACAATATCTCAAGAACATCTTAACGAAATTTCTTTAAATAAAATGATTTTGAATTTTGTGTTCAAAGGTCAGGGTCAACTGTACTGATTGTGTAGATATGTGCTGTTGGGGGGGACAATGGGTGTGAAACATCCATGTTTTCACAGACATGGATATAAACTGTAAGAAGATCTTAACTGGTGCATGAAGGCATATAACCGCAAGGCACTAATTCTAGTTTTTGTTTGTTTTTCCTTTCTTTCCTTTTATTTCTTTTGCTGGAGCACTCTATGGCTGGGCTGCCACTATGCCAACTCAGTGGTATCATTAAAAGGAGGCATAATTTTGCATTGTCAGTGATGATTGGTTGGTATAGCACCTACAGAAAAGACAGGTGGAACTGGTGGAATAGATTTTGCATGTCACACTCTCTCAGAAAAGCTCCTTGCTGGCAGGTGTAAAGATGCAGAAGCAGCTGATGTCCGTCTACCATCTTTCATAGTTCAGAGTGGTGTTAGCAGTGATAAGGACTGCAAGCCATACAGTAAGGAAAATGGCCATTTAATATTAGGAAAATAGTAACAGAAAAAAAAGACAAACTGTTTTAACCTTGCAGTCTCACTACTGGAGGTTCCCAAGGGTTTGGTTCTGGGTCCCCTCCTCCTTTTATGGTTTTCACAGCAATGACAGGACAAATCTCTGCATGTCTGGCCAACATCTCTTGGTGGATGTGCGCTTCTCCTTCAGGTAAAGGTTTCTCCCATCCATACCCTCTCCATCACCATTGAGAACTCTGTATTGTCTTTGGCTCAGACTGTGAGGTACACTGAATGACTAGCTGTCCATTGCTGCGACAACCTCCTCATACAGATTCATTCTCTACAACATCAAGAGTATATGCCTATTCCACACCCAGGAGGTGGCTAAGGTTCTGGTCCAGGCTCTTGTTTTCTTGTACCTAGACAACTGCAACTTGCTCCTGGCTGGTGTGCCTCCATGTGCTTTCTGACCTCTGCAGCTCATCCAGAATGCAGAAGCCCTGCTGGTTTAAAATCTACCCAAGTTCTCAGACACTATGCTGCTCCTCTACACTACCACTGTCTGCTTGAATCTGATTTAAGACACTTGCCTATTGTGCTGTGAATGGCTCAGTTTCATCCTACATTAAGGTCAAACCGTACACCCCAGCCCATTCATTACACTAAGCTACTGCTAATCAGGTTGCTACTCTCTCACTAAAAAGGGGGCTTGGCTGCCACTCAACAAAATCACAACTGTTTGCTGACCCGGCTCTATAATGGCCAAGTGAACTCCCCATTGACATCGGCACAGCGGAAGCTACACTACTATGGCTGGCCACCAATTGGAAG